AACGTTAAGTTTGAATAGAATGAGAATTGCAAAAGAAGCATTATGGAACTCAAGAAGTGGTTGACTACTGCACCCGTGTTGGCCTTACCAAGTGGGTCATGTGAATATACAGTGTATAGTGATACCTCCTACTTGGGGTTAGGTTGTGTTCTGGTGTAGCATGAAAATGTCATAGCCTATGGGTCCAGGTAGTAGAAGAGTCACAAGAAAAAGTACATCGCCCATGAATTAGAACTTGTCTCCATTATCTACGCCTTGAAGACCAAGTGCCACTACTTGTATGGAGAGACTTTTGAGATTTATACTGACCAAGAGAATTTTAAGTACATATTCACTCAAAAAGATCTCAACATGCGTCAAATGTGTTAGATAGAATTCTTCAAGGACTACGATTGTGATATCTTGTATCACCCAGAAAAGAACAATATGGTAGCCGATGCACTCAGCAGAAAAAGTACAGGTATGTTAGCTCACCTAATGGTTTCTGAATACAAGGTAATAGGGGCCGCACAACATATACGATTTTAGGACTTGAAGAGAATTACATGTTTGGTCCACCTGACAGTCCAACCCGAATTGATTTAGAGAATAAAGGAAGCCTAATTAACCAATTTTACCATAGCAACTCTCAAGAAGGATGCAGAACAGTGAGTAAATCCAGAATTTCGAGTCTCCACCACTAGGTTGCTCAGGTTTCAAAACAGGGTGTGTGTTTCAGATGACAGTGAACTGAAAAGGGACATCATGATAGAGACTCACAGCTTAAAGTTCATCATACATTCTAAAAGTACTAAAATGTATCAAAGCATGCGACTCCATTTTTGGTGGAGCAGATATGAAAAGAGAGATATTTGACTTTGTCTTCAAGTGTCTAGTATATCAATAGGTTAAGGCAGAGCATCAATGCCCAGTAGGGCTATTTTAGCCATTACTAATCCTGAAGTAAAAGTGAAAACATATCAGAATGAATTTCGTGACAGGGTTGCCTAAGGCACACTCATGACATGATACTATCTGGGTATCAGGATGACCGACCCTATGGACAAGTTAGTGAGAATATATATCTAAGAGATAATCAGGTTACATAGAGTTCCAGTGACAATGGTATCCGACATAGATCTCAAGTTCACTTTTTAGTTTTGGTCTAGTTTTCAGCAAGCTATAGCGACAAAACTGTCCCTTAGCACTGCATTATTACTCTCAAACTGATGGACAATCAGAGATGACGATTCGCACACTAGAGGATATGTTCTGAGTTTGTGTTTTTGACTTCGGGGGCTATTGGGATGATCACCTACT